AATTCCTCTAGCAGTGAATAATTTGCACATCACAGTCTAGCTTGATGAGAGCTTGAGGCCACATATGGTGAGGTTCATTTAACAAATATTTATTGAGCAACTACTCTGTGTCAGGTCCTGTATCAGGCACTGGTAATACAAGAATAAATAAGACCGCCCCTGCCCTCAAGGAGCTTACAGTCTAGCATAAGAACTTATAGCACCTTAGAATCTACTGAGAAAACTTTCTCAGTATGTAGCATATCATCTGGAGTATTCCAAGTTTCCTGAAAATATGAATCTAAAACTTACCAGGAAGCACAGTTTAGAAATGAAGGATGCAGTGAAACTCAAGAGAAAATTCAAATATTCATTTTTTACTGTAAAAACTATGAAATCTAAACAAGGAAGAAACTTAGGAAAACTGAAAAATTCAACCTATTTTAAAGACTTTGGACCAGATTTAAACTTTTAAAATTATTTTATTATCTCTGGGCAACATTTTCATTATAGTGACATTTACATACACATACATAGAGGAGGTGTGTGTATGTGCAGTGTGCTCCGTGGGCTCCTGGTAAACAGATCTCTATCATTACTTCATGTTCAACTAAAGAGAGCAGCATAAAGGTACATCACACACTTTTCTTTCAATAATAATTTCCATTATCACTTGGATGAGAAAAACTCATAAACTCATTTAGAATCATCTCTAAGATATAAATTTTAGTACAATTTTATTATACGAGACTAACCTGTGTCTTTGTAACATGTGATAATTTAAGCATATATTTTAATGGTTATTGACAGTTTATGGCATCTAAAATAGTCTTAAACCTATTTGAATTTTTTTTTCCTGTACTTTTCCTTAAAAGCATAAAAGACCCTTGTGCAAATGAAGAACTTTTGTTGTTGTTTTGCTGTACTTTGGTACATTGCTATTTATTTCTTAATCTAGCAGCATCCTTCCTTAGTTGTAGTATCTTAAGTTGCAAGTGAAAAAGTCACTAGCCTAGGCTTTAACTGGGATCTTCTATTACCCAGAAGGTAAATGGGAAGCAACCAACGTTGTGTCTCACAGACTGAGCACCCACTCAGTCTAGCTCTTACTGCAGACACTGAACAGGTGTGGTTATCTTACGTCCCAGGTCATAGCTGATGAACACAGCACATCAGAAGAAAAGTGTTAGGGGCAGGCATGTTGATAGAACACACTACTTAGCAGATGTTAAAATTTGAAAAAGATTAATGTAGGCAAATGATTATGTATACCTCAAAGTAGAGGGAACCACCTCATAAGATATTAAATTTATATGTTATAGCCCTTTGTATTTTATGAAATGTTTATACAAATCAGAGCTCACTGGTATCTGTAATAACATTATGTATGTGCCTTGTAAATTATAATAAACACACTAAGAAGGTAGGGAAGTATACTAACATCTGAAAGATTTGCATCAAAAATAATTACAAGTTTTAAATTTTGGCACTTAAGAGATATGCATCAACTTTCCAAAATTCATATATATATATGTTTCCTTCATGACCAACACAAGGTGTTACTGAATGAATTTTCACAGCACTCAATGACTGCTGGTCATTAAATGTCGATGATTGTCATCGATAAGTTATTGGACTATATTTCCTGCTAAATGCAAGTTGAACAGATACCTACAGACACATTTTCTGAGTAATATGGGAAACACTAGACTTCTAAAAGACCCAGCGTTTTCCCTATATTGCACTTTTTAGAGAACATAACCTTAAAAATTATACAATGTGATCCTGCTTCTAAATAGGACAGGGAACATGTGATTTATCATTTCCTTTTTTGTGTTCCTGAAATTTTTGGTATGGCCTCTTCTCCCTGATGTAACAAAGAAAAATAACAAAATACATATATCCTTTGGGCTGCTGAGCAAAAAGATTACACACTTTAAAAAGACTTAAGGCCGGGGAGATGGCTCAGTGGAATAAGTGCTTCCCTGGCAAACGCAAGGGCCTGAGTTCAATCCCTGGTTCCACCAAAAAAAAAAAAAAAAAGACTTAAGAGTTTTCTTCTGCTTTAGCCACTCTTCACAACTGAAAATAAGGAACTACTGTATATTTGATGTACCCAACTCATTCAACAGAGTTCTCATAAATATATTGTTCTGGAAAAATGATTTTTAAATCATGAGAACAATTTATACTACACTTACCAATTATTGTATTTTTTACCAATTATGAATAAAAATAAAATTTAGAGTAAAAAATACACTCTAAGTGATGTTGCAATGTGTAATTTCTTCCAACAGCATACTGTTCCTATTGTCCTTTAATTCTTTGAGATCTTACATGTACATTTATATGGTACATTTCTCTGTTTTGGGGGGTTTTGGTTTTTTTTTTTTCCGGAACAGGGGATCAAACTCACGCCCTTGCACTTGCCAGGGAAGTGCTTATTCCACTGAGCCATCTCCCTGGCTCCTTTATTGTCCTTTAATTCTTGACTAATATTCCCTAAGGACTTTTTTTTGTCATGACCATAACTTAAGGAAGGCAAAGGGGTTTTTTTTGGGATTGTTGAATTATAGCTGTTTTTTTTTTTTTAAATAGTTTTTTGAGATGTTGCCAACAGTTTCTTTTTTTCTTTTTTGTGGAACTAGGGATTGAACTCAGGCCCCTGTGCTTGCCAGGGAAGCGCTTATTCCACTGAGCCATCTCCCCAGCCCCATAGCTGGTTAATTTTTAATTCTCATTTGTGTGGCTGTATTTTTAAGTTACTTCTCCATTTTTTTCATAGGTGGTTATAATGCTTGAGAGTTTTTTAAAGTTAGGAATGGACTGTTTGCCCTAAGTTTATGGTAATCATTCTCATGGGAACTAATCAGTCTTGTAAGTATTCTTTCACATGGTAGAAAAAGTAATTAAGGCCAGTGTTGTAAAACAAACCAAAAAAAAAAAAAAAAAAAACCCAAACCTTCCAGAAGATACTAATGTAGATTTGTTTTTTCTTTTGGTACTGGGAATCAAACCCAAGGCTTCATGTTTGCCCAAGGCTTCATGTTTGCCAGGCAGGTGCTGTGCCACTAGGCTACATCCCCAGCTCCCAGAAGATACTAAACAAGGAAATTAACAGGTCAGTTTATCATCCTTTACAAACTAAGCTCACAAACAGTATAGTAACAGGCCTTAAACTAAAACAAACAGATGAACCTGGCTTTGGATCCCAGTGTAGCCACCCAATGCCAACTTTAATTTCAAGCCAGTCAGATAATCTTTCTGTCCCATCATTACCTCCAAAGTAATTTGGAGCATATTTTACCTACCGTGCAAGATTTTTGTGAGGGTGGGTAATAAAGAAGTTATACTGGCAGACTACAGATGTTCTATGGTGGGTTAAGAATCACTGGCTGAATTTATAGAGTTGGGATGTGTGTAAGTTCAGCATCTGACACAGAACACATTCCAAAGTTGATACAACTTATGGAATCTTTTTTTGAATGTCAACCTGATCACTTTACTTTATAGCTTACTTTTAACAACATTATGGGATGCTTTTCATTTTAACCTTCAAAGCTAATATTTTAAATAAGTTTGGTTTTTTTTTAAATAAAGTTTTTTGGGCAAACTTATGTGTTCCCTGTGCTTTGTGGTAACTTTTTCTTCTTCTTTTTTTTTTTTTCACGGAACCGGGGATCGAACTCAGGTCCTTCCACTTGCCAGGGAAGTGATTATTCTACTGGGCCATCTCCCTGGCCCTAACTTTTTCAATGACCACAAAATTTCAATTTTTAGGTAAAAGGATGTACTTTTAAAAATTTATTCTATAGCTAATATTGTTCCATGGCAGATGTACCTGTATGTATGTGTGTGGATGACTATTCAGCAGCCCCTATAAAGCAGCAGCATTTTACTTCATGTATTTGGGTTGTTTAAACAAATCTATTAAACCTAAAACACTTTCCTTCTTAAGACTGGAAAACTCAACATGTAATCTTGTGCCTTCCCTTTTAAATGTGCTGGCCAGTTTAAGAGTACTCACAATAATACAACTTAAAAGACAAAGTGTTTACATGTCACTGATTTTAAGAGCCAGCATAATACAGGAGAATTACCCTGAGCACAGATTAGTAGACTTGAATTCAAGTCCTGGCTCTGCCACTAACTTTGCAGGCTGACCTTAAGCAAGTCATTTCTCTATTTTGTCAAATAATGTAAATGATACATTCGAAGTTGTTTTCTACCTCTAAAATTGCCTTCATTTATCATTATTTAGCTAAGCAAAACACCTGTGGGAATTGTATTAAGCACCAGATTGATATAGATGTATTTACTGAAGTCTGAGGTTTTATTTTTCAAACTGTGATCTGAGACCACTTGAATGAAATTATGTGGGATTCTTGCTAAAAACAGATTCTTGTCCTCTCTCTGCCTAAATCAGAATCTCCTAAGGCAAGACCCAGGTTTTTGCATTTCTCACAAGATCTTCACAGATTATAATGTACTCTTAAATTTCAGAACTATTGGCCTAAGGAGTATGTGACCTAAAAGGGCAAGGCTAGCACATAGCTTAAATTATTCCAGGCTCCAGAAAATCGCATCTAACTAAACACAATGTCCTTTTATGTTTTGTAACAAAGTACAACAAATATTTTCATATCAGCATTTAGCCTTGACATTGAAGTCACAGACTACCAGAGTTACGATAACAGTTTGAAGACAACTGCAGCTTCCCACTCAGTAACGGTAAGAACTGAGCTTGTGGCCGCTGGCTCAAGGAAGAAAGATTGAACACAATGCTGTATATCTTTACTCTTGATTTTCTTTCTACCTCAATACTGATAACATTTCATCCTGTGGCATTCAAAGTATCTGGCAGAGAAAACACTGAAATCTAAGTCACACTGTTCTCATCATTTTGTGGCCACATTTTGTACTAATCTGATAAATAAATCTTCTTCTGTACATCAGAAATGATGAAAGTCCACATCTTCTCCTTTCCTTTCTAATGCTGTTGACAGGAATAAAATACCAAGTAAGAGCATGTTAGACATTTTTAGACTGATACACATAAATTATAAGAAATGGCAATAATTTTTCTAGATTTTCACAAAATCTCTCCCACATGAAAAAAATTTTGACTTTACCAAGAAATGGGAAGATATTAAGTTGTATGACTAACAGAAGAGTAATACAATTATCTGAGAGATATGTATCTTTAAAAGGCCAAACATACTAATAAATGAAGATGAATTTCTTTTTCAACAACTGGTGTGTCAACATACAGCTTCTGGATTTTATTCAATGCTAGCATCAAGGGTTTCTTTTACCCCAACCCAAACTCCTGCCAAATGTCCACAAATTCATACTAAAACCAAAAAAGAGAAAGGAGAGAAGGGAGTAAAGGACAGAAAAAAGGAGAGAACAAGGAAACTTAACAAGAGCTACCATGCAAAGTAACGGGAGTTCAGTGGCACAGAGCAGCAGGAGCAGAGGAATGCTGAAAATGATGGGGCTGCGTGGAGTCTCATCTCAAGATGCCTGCATGACACTGGTGAACCAAGTACTCAGGTCACTGGGACATTCATGGACCCATACAAACTAGGATCTTGACTCAATTTTATCAGATCTTCTAAGAAAATACTTCACCTAAATTGAAGTAATTTATCAAGTTCAATGCCATGAAAGTTCCTCATTTGATGTAAGTTGTGCCTAAAACTTTGGCTGATACAAAGAGACTCGTCCACTAAGGCACCCTGAGGCAATCTGACAATGCGTTGGAGAGAATTTTGTTGTCAGTACCACATCATTATGAGAATATAGAGAGCGGATCACTCGGAGGGGACTGGCTTCTTTGGGTAAACAGTCCACAAGTTCACTGCATTGTTTGTCAAATCCCAACAGTCGAATTCCATAGCCATGCGGGGAAGAAATCATTCGCCCATCAGGACTGAAGCAAAGTTCTTTGATGTAACCCCTGCCTACATTGGCTTCTTCAATGTAATGAGTCAGTCGCAGGGAACAGCGAGGTGAGACAAGTCGCACAGGAGCTCCTTCTTGAAATTCATAGACACAAGTCCACTGGGGAAGAGAAAGGAGACAAACTAAGGTTACAGGGCCTCAAATAGTGCTACAGATATCTTATTTTTGAAAGATTCAACAGACTGCCAACACCACATAATTGTTGCAAGCAACCAATCAGATGAATACTATCCCAATTGTGACTAACAAACTTCGTAAAACTCCATTGTTGGGCATGGGGGCACATGCCTGTAATTCCAGCACGTAGGAGGCTGAGGCAGGGGGATTACCATGAGTTTAAGGTCAGCTTAGGCTACAAAGTTAGTTCAAGAGCAGTCTGAACACAGTGAGTGCCTGTGTCAAAAAACCTACAGAAAAGAAATACAAGAACTTGTATGCTCCACACTCTCGTCTTTATAAACAGAGGTTATCCTGTGCTATGAGGCTTTAAGGTTTTTGATCACTAAGGCTGTCTGTGACTTCTATAGTAATATGCTTTCTTTTTTTTAATGGTAATTACAATCTTTTTTTTTTTTTTTTTTTTTTTTTTTTGCGGAACCAGGGATTGAACTCAAGCCCTTGTACTTGCCAGGCAAGTGTTTATTTTACTGAGCTATCTCCCCGGCCCCTACAATCTTGATATTTTAAAAATTGCTAGGTACACTCAAGCCCTAAAGACATTTCAAAGGGTCCTTTTACTCCCTTCAGTTGTCCCCAGAGCCAGGAAGATTCTTGGAAAATTCTTCCTTTCTAGAGTGACAACAATTGTAAAGTTATTTAACCTTTACCCTTTGTCATCTGTTTAGTCTCTTTACTTCCCAGTTTCCTTTGGTTTTTTGTATCAGGAGTTGAACTCTGGACCTTCTGCTTGCCAGGCAGTTGCTTGTGCCACTGAGCTATTTCCCAGGCTCCTCCTTTGGTTTTCAAAAAGAGAAAATTACAGTAACTGGCTTAGCAAAACCTTTCATTTAGCCAGTCTAGATGAAATATTGCACTACTATGAACTTCCTATACAAGTTTTGAATAGGAACTTCCTTCCTTTCTCCTTCCTTTCCTCTTCCTTTCATTTCTTGCTTTTTCTCACTTTATTTTTTAAGAATGAAACAAAGAAGAGCCAATGAGATAGCTCAGCAGACTAAAAGTGTCTGCTTAGGTAAGTGTAGAGACTGTGGTTCAATCTCTGGCACCACATGCCACACCAGCCCCACTCCCAGGGTGGGCTGCACCAGCTAGTGCAGGGCATACTGGCACATGCCTATAATCTCAGAACTGGGGAGGCTGAACGCAGGAGGATCACCACAAGTCTGAGCTGCATAGTGAGACCCTGCAACAACCAAATATACTAAACAACAACAACAACAAAAAGAATGAAACATAGCAACAATTAAGAGGCAAGGCACAATCTGAGCTGATGATGGTCTTTAGAGTAATTCTCAGTTCACCCAGGTAGGAGAGGAGAAAACTTTGCAAGGGATAAACATACCCTAAAATAACAGAGAACAGAAATAGCAAGAGTTGACAGTGGACTAAAGCACCTGCTTAGGCAGAGCACAGCAGCAGGGGTTCGATTTCCAGTGTGCCATGTCAGCCCTGCCCCTAAGGTGAGCTGAGACTAGGTACGGTGGCGCACACTAAAAATCCCAGCACCTGGAGGCTGAAAACAGGAGAATCACTACGAGTCTGATCTATGTGTTAAAACCCTATAGACCCTGTACCAAACACATTTAAAAAAAAAAATACCAGGAGTTAAGAAGCAGGGTCTGTGACAATGTGCCCTTGAGGATAGGGACTGCATGTAATCATCAGCCTATAGTCTGTATACATGGCAATAGCAGTTTTTCCAAAAAGCCCTGGTGAAGGGAGTGCTGCCGTCTGTACCTCCTGATCATCAGTGTTGCTTGAGCACCGAAGAAGCGTGGCCCAGCCTTTGGGGTGCAGTTGTAAGGATGTAATACAGTTTCCACGATCTCGTTCACCAGGAACTTCAGGGGTTAAGACTTCAAGACTATTTCGTGGCGAAACTCCTGAAATACAAGAAAATGAAGTTTTCAACAATATAAATCCCATGCTTGGCAGTTTTTTATTTTTTAAGAATCACAGTTATGCTGGAAATGGTGACACAAGCCTGTAATCCCAGCACTACAGAGGCTGAGACAGGAGGGCTGGCAAGAGTTTGAGATCATTCTAAGCTGTATAGTCAGTTCAAAGCCAGCCTGAATTACAGGTAAGACCCCATATCTCAAAAAACCAAAAAGAAGAAAAGAAAGAAAAAAAAAAAAACCCCACAGTTATATGATACTGACAGAGTCTAAAAACAATAACAATTCTCATCTTAGATGATGTATTTGTTCCCGAGGCCAAAGAATAAAATAAAGGAAGCCAGGGTAAATAAAAGAATCTGATTCATAATCCTGAAGAACAATACAGATACTCCTCTACTTACGGTGGGGTTAAAAAACCATTAAAAATTGAAAATGCTTTTAATACACCTAACCTACCAAACAGCACAGCAGTCACATAGTATACTACAGAACACTGGCTGCTTATTCTTATGATTGCATGGCTCAGCATCATGACACTATCATCCTGCATACTGCCAGCTTAGGAAAAGATCAAAATTCAAAGCACAGTTTCTACTGAATGTGTATCATGTTGTACCACCATAAAGTTGAAAAATTGTAAATTGAACCACTGTAAGTTAGGGACTGTCTGTACTATATATAACAAATAAAGATATAATTCTGGAGGTGAGAGATGACACTGTACATAAAAGCAGGTCAAAATGAAAGATGGAGGACATGTCAATCATGTAACCTCTGACTGTACAGCATCCTAGCATTTTTTTCTGTTTGGTGCCCTAATGAAGATGACATCAACAGTAAGTCACTGTTACTTAGAAGAGTGACATATTCCTTAGGTATTTAGAGAATATTTCTAAGATATCGTAAGGAAGCAGCTTAGGTATTTAGTATTTTCAAGCAGATGAATGATCATATTTTAAAGATCTTTAGGTTACATCACTGACAGAAGCCTGCAAAGCTCTAAATTTAATTGCTACAACTATACTATATGTAAATGTTTATATATATGTAATTGAATTTTAAAAATTTTAAAGAAAAAAACAAACTCCTATTTTATGAGTTAATTTTGTAAACTTCTCACAAAAGCAGAAAATAAGTATTTTAAATGAGTAAGCAGTTTACTATTTGTACCCTTTGCAGGTTCTTTGGGAGCTGACAAAAAGAACCATGTAGGAGACACAGTAGAAAGGGAGTAGGGAAGACTGAAGGATCAATTTCACTTGAACCAGAGCTACTTAGATTTTATTTGTGCTACATCACTGAGAATTCTCAGTGAGACCCATTACATCCTGTAGACACTGTCCTAAATTCACACACATGCACACACGTGCACACACACACACAAACACACACACACAAAAAAATCCCTAGGCTATTAATAAATTAGTTTTCTGAAATGTACTATATAAGGTATATGTCCTTTCTAAATATTTTATACCAAAGATGCTTATGAGAAATAGAAATAAACCATATAAGTATAGGAACATCTTTAGTTTCTTATAATTTCACAGTAGAGCAGAGCAGTAAAATTTAATAATGATAATTTAATGATAATCTTTAAAATATGATCATGCATTTGCTTGAAAATACTAAATACTTAAGCTGCTTCCTTATGATATCTTAGAAATATTCTCTGAATACCTAAGGAATATGTCACTCCTCTAAGTAACAGTGATTTACTGTTGCTGTCATCTTTTTTTTTTTTTTTTTTTTTTTTTGCGGAACTCGGGATTGAACTCATGCCCTTACACTTGCCAGGGAAGTGCTTATTCCACTGAGCCATCTCCCCAACCCCTGATGTCATCTTCATTGGGGTGCCAAATAGAAAGAAATGATTTCATCCTCAAAATAAGTTATAATGCGTTATAATGCTGCTCTAAATATTGAAGTAGAGATGTCTCTATTTCTTAAAAGGTGGTTCAAAATAACACAAAAAAAAGATACTTGGCCAAACCTAATCAATCCAAAAGGAGGAATGTCATAAATGTAGTAAGACTTTAGATTTGGATTAATATGGAGAGACAATAGTGCATTTGTACAGATAGCAAATATTTCAATTAGGAGATAGAAGGGATAGCAGAGCAGCCAGTTCTGCCAGAATGACCAGGAAAAACTGGAACACATGAACGGGGTCAAATTAGACCTCACCTTATCTCCCAGCTCCTTTGAAGCTGTCAGGCAATGCACAGAAAGCAAATAATGGAGCAAAAGACCTCCGGAGCAAGATATCAGATGACTTTCAGAATCACCTGATAAATTAGTTCGTGTTTAATAGTAGTTTCACTTACATCTCATTTAATTTTTACATTCTCATTGAATATATTCTCATTGAATTTTCAGATTCAATCGATTAGAATCTGTATTTCCTATTTCTTCTCCATTTCAGACCAAATTAAGTTTGGGCCAGGTAATAAAACCAAATCTCTCTCTCCTCTCTCTCCTCTCCCCTCTCCCCCTCCC